TGCAAAAGGACCTAAAAAAAAGGACAAAATTGAACATATGGAAGCTCTTGGTTAGAAGAAATGAAAGGGTAGGAGAATGGTAGAGTACCTGAAGGGTTCAGCATCATCTGAAGAATTGATGTTGGTTCTCTCAAGGTTGTTTTTGAGATGATAGGCTTCCTGTGACTGAGGCACCTCGAGAGGAGCCACCTCAGGTCCTGTGGTGATTGTTTCATCACTAGTGAGGACAATCACTGATGAATCACCAGCATGTGTTGAGACCAAAGGAGGAGGAGATGAGAGAATGGCTGAGAAAGGTAGGAGTGGGAGTTCAGCAGTGGAAATGCTGATATTCACACCATCAATGATTTGGGTCACTAAGGCGGTTGGGAGAGGAGCCACGTGTACGACAATGTCTGAGGAGATCACTGAAGAGCTACGTGGGGGTAGAAGATAGAGCGCCTTGGGGATAAGGCTTGTTTCAATGACTGAAACCTGTTAGGAGGTAACAACCAGCGACTTGGTTAGCCCCTTTTTGGCTTTCTTGACCCTCAATGAAGTACCAAGATTAGCTTAATAGGAGGTCCTCTTAGAGGATATGGTGGTGGTGGTTGGGATAGACTGAGGGGGGTTTGCTTCAGTTCTGACCACCTTTAGGAGAGTAGAGAAAGGGGTAGAGGACATACGTGTGCCATGAGCGATAGCAAGCATTGGTGTAAACATACCAATATCTACAGGTTTAGACTTGTGGTCCAAGATTCTAGACCCAAGCCTGCAAATAGGCATGTTGCCTTCTATGAGGTATTTATTGCCAAAGATTTCAGCAAATACCATGCACAAGAACCTGGTGTAAGGCACCACCTTTTCTTGTTGGCACTTATTCAGGTTCAGCGCCAGGTCTTCAAAAATAACGCCAACAAAGTTGATATTCATCTGGTGAATGACAGAGACACCAATGTTAAGAGCCACCCTTGAGGCTTGGTCTTGGCCACCAGTCTTGCCTGCCATACATTGAATGAAATGGGAAAACAAGTATTGTTATACCGTAGACATGCGGTTCTTCTCAATCTTTGACAACGACTTGAGGGGTTCGCTGGAGTCCTTCTTGGTTGGCCAGATGTAGCCAATATCATCAAGGCAGGAGATGATATCTTCAGTGGAGGGTTCACTAGAGTATGGATCCTTGGGCAGCTGAAAAGCAGTCCTCAAAGTGACAATGCCAAAACTGATAGTCATTCTGTTGAAGGTGAAGGAGATTTTCTCCACCTAGTTCCCAGTCTTGTCAGTTTCTTGCCTCACTTCAGCAGTGAACCAAAACTACTAAAGGAATTCTTGACCATGACAGGTTCATAGGTCAGCGCATGGGTAATAGAAGAGTTTTTTTGATTTTCCACAAAACTAAAAATAAACATGATGCAACCCTAACCCAAAAACAAACATAAAATAAAAAAAGTCAAATCTCTTATCATCGTCAAGAACCTAGATTCAAAAAAAAGCCCCAAAATCAAACCCAAATTCAGAAACCTTTATCATCGTCAAGAACCCGGATTCAGAAACCCTAAGCATTCGAGAACCAAGAACAACGGTGGTTCTTCTACTCTTCGTTTCATTATAGGGGTATTGGAAATTTGTCGAAAACCGACAGAAGCTTGTGGTAATAGTCTGGAGCAACTTTCATAATCAGGGTTTTATTGCTTGGGCAAAGGAGATATGGCTGCAATGAAACGATTTATGGTTTGAAATCGACAACCGATAAAGGCGAGGAGAGACAATATATACGAGAGATAAATGCTACAGTGATGAATTGTTCTTCGATAGAGATAGATATTTAATCCATGTGGAAATCTTTGATGGAGGTATTCTTCGAACCAAATCTAAGAGGGGGCAGGGTCAAGGGCTGAGCCAGGACTTTCGAATAGGGTGATCCTCTTGTTTCAACTTTTTATGTCCAAGATCACCAATCACTTTTAGAGTGTGTGAGTCTCTACATGTGGAAGATCTCAATATGCAACACAAGGATATCTGAAACCCATTTTTTTTTCTAAAATAGTTATTATAGATTGATGGGATATAGTTATATATGTATTTGTGGTTGTGTAAGTGAGGGTATGCCTAGGAATCCCCTAGGCCAAAGTTGGCTCCGCTAGTGGGCAAGGTAGTTATGTTAGGAATTTTTGGTTGGAGAGAGAGTGTCAAGAAAGGGGGAGGGGTGTGGGGAGTCAATGTGAAAACAGTGATATATATTGTTGGGATATGTGTATATATATCAATACTATATATTAATATTAGAGTAAATTACAAATTTCGTTCCTAGTTATTGAAAACTTCGGATTGGGTCCCCTAAACAAAATAATTGCATGCATAGTCACCATGGTTTCACTTTTATTATGGATTTGGTCCCGGTCTTAACTCCAGTAACAAGTGTTCTATTAAGTCAAGGGTAATATCATCTTTTTACAGTTTTCTTTAGATTCTTTTTTAAAATTGTATTTAATATTACATAATATTATACATATGTTATATATATAGGGGCCTAATCAAATGAGAACAATTTAGTTTGTGGTAACTGTGAGATTCAACATGGACCAATCATTCAAGATAATTAATATGATTTCTTAAAATAAAAAAGGGTAAATTAGTAAATTGTACTGCATATTCAAGTTACTTTAATTAGTTTAGAATTCTAATGTTGCATTTAAGTTGTCTCTCTCTTTCTCTATCTCACTCTCCAAAACCCGAATTCCTTTATCTCTCTATCTTCCTACCAGATCCGATTCAAACCCAATCGGAAAACCACCCTCATCATTGCCAAACCTAACGACAGCGACTCCATCGACGGCCTTGACCGCTTAATCTCCATAAACAGAGATGTGTGTGTGCGTATCTTTGTGTCTTTGTGAAAGAGGGCAACTTACAATCAAATATTGAACTAAGGGAACGATCTGGACGAGGTCATTGAAGAGAAGACAGTCGACATTGTCGGCAACAGTAATGGCGGTGGAACTGGAAAAAGCGAAAAGATTACGGCGGTGAAAAGGTGAAGAAGAGCGGAGATCTTCGCCGGGAAGCCATGAAGTTGGTTCTTCACCACCAAAACCCAAAATAGCATTGTCCTGCTCCAAATCAAAGTGTTGTGATGATTGATGATACATTCCTGGATATTCATTTTCACAAAATCAACAGAAATTAGAGCTCCAGAATAGGAATCAGATCAAGGAAACGATTTCAAGAAACTGAAACAGAAAGTGAAACTGAAATAGTGGTAATATAGTGTATTAAGGTTTAGTATCACAATGGTAATATAGTTGGTGTGAATGGTATCACAGTGGTAAACCAATTGGTACTACATTCGGTATCACAGTGCATCTTGTATGTATTTTTGGTATCACAACGTGGATTGTCTGTACGTATCTCTTAAATTTATATTATATATTTGATTATGGTTTGTTTTTAAGGTTTGGGTTGGTATCATAGTTGATATCACAATGGTATTAGAGTGATATAACCAATGGTATCATATTGTGTATCTTTGTGATTACTTGGTACCGGCCGAAATAATGTTCACCGGAGGCCGAAGGTCAAAGAGAGGAGATAGGAGTTTTTAAAAATACCTAGAATGCCCTCTAATTATAATTTTAACCCAAATTACCAAAATTGTTAGTTTCCTAATTTATCCCTTGATATGTGGTTGAGATTGGATCTCACAGTTACCACAAACTAATCAATTTTCCCTTGAATGGACTCCTATATATACATATATATACACATCGTCCCTGTCATTAGGCACCCACACCAACCGTCTATGACCATCGGCTTCTCTAGCCACATCTGCCACCGTCGATTTCCCCTATCCGGCGATCTCGACCTCCAAGAACTCCGAACATCATTTTGCATAGTTTTTCTTCGATAGACTCTAACCAAACTCCAACCATTGACGGTCACATGTGGCTAGCCACTGGTTTTCTTCACAAGCAATAACTTCATCTCCCACCTCAACCAAAGTGAAAGCCAAAAAAATAAGGATATAAATGAAATAAGAAGTTATATAATTAGACACGGGTTGATTTAAACCACCAAAGAACACCTAGCTTTGTAGACATTGATGTTTGATGAATCCAAGAACAAAACAGAAGATTAAACCCTAAAATGAGAAATCATATCCATTTAGATGAAGCTTAAATCATTAGGAACTACAGATCCACCTAACCTCGACCTGGTTACTGTCGAGATATGGTGGTGCTATGGTGGTGACGGAGAAGGACGCTGTGATGCTGTTGTTGTAGATCGTTCATCGAAAACATGGAGGCGACAAATGTGTTGTTGCTAACGACAACATGAACGTTGTTTGTGTACCTTACTTATTAAATCAAACAATAATGTGGCCAGAAGGACAAAATGAAACGGTGATATGGCCAGCAGGAGAGGTTCTTAAGAGTGGTCTGCCAGGGAGGTAAGAGACTTAATCCATAACAAAAGTAAAACCATGATTAGTATACACGTAATTATTTTGTTTGGAGAATCCAGTCCAAAACTTTCATACAACCACAGGGATGAGATATGTAATTTACTTTTAATAAAAATACATACTATAATAAATACATTTATTTAATTTTTAGATTGAAAATTAAATAAATAATAGAAAGATGAAAATCTCATTGAGTTAACTGTTTATTTTAATTGGAAGTTAGTCAAAAGAGACCAAAATCGTAACAAAATGAGAATCCCGGTCACTAAAAATGTAGTTATTTTAAAGTAAGGACGAGATTTGATGCTAGTGATAATTATAAGGACCAAAAGTGTAATTTACTCCGGAATGAATAAAAATTTCCTTACTGATCCGTAGTAAATAATTTCGAACAAATACTCCCGCGGTAAAAAGCTCCAATCGCCATACAAAAAGGGTAGAGCATGGTCCCACTTACATACAACCTATCCGTGGTTCCATCTTATTGGAAGGGGCCATCGCTCCCTGGTATTTCATCTGATTCCCGCCATTTCTTTTCCTTTCGACATTTCCCCAAATGGGTATCAAAGATCTTCTAAGATTCATGAAACCCTACGTTGAGCCCATTCACATCAAGAAATATGCAGGCAAACGTGTACGTCGATTCGAACTCATGTTTCAGTATATCCATCAGGACCATTAGTTAATAAATTGATTTGGGGTAATTTTTTTCTTGTGCTAATTGTGTTAACATTTCGATGTTTACAGGTGGGTATCGATGCTTATTCATGGCTTCACAAAGGAGGTATAAGTGTGTTGGTCTGCGTCTTCTTTAAAGTATTAATGTACTGATGTTCGTCCATAAATTTCCTCTAATTTATGGTGCTTTAGTCATTTGATCAATTGCCAGAGGTAATCTTTTACATTATTTGTAGAATCAGTCGAATCTCTTACTCTTCTTGTGGAGTTAAATGTTGCAATTTGGCAATGGATGAAGTAAGGTCATGCAAGTTCAGAATAGACTTCGAACTCACATTTTAACTGTGTTGATTTAACATATTTAAGCATTACAATTTGAAAAATATTTGCTGGACATTCCAAACACCCGTATCAATTTAGGTTTGAAATCACAGTATCAAAATGCAGCTCTTTTTTGAACGGAAGGTGGTAGTAGCAATTCTTAATAGTTACGTTTGTGGGTGTTTGATAGAACTAACTTGTTTTTCCTTTCTGTTGGAAAATAAACAGCATATTCATGCAGTATGGAGCTTTGTCTGAATATGGAAGGAGATAAAAAATTTCAGTACTTAAACTACTGTATGCATCGAATCAATGTGCTTCGTCATCATAACATTAATCCGGTGCTAGTTTTTGATGGTGGTAACATCCCCTGCAAGGCCCAGACGGAGCAAGACAGACATAGGTGAGTTAAATGTTTTGCATTAAAACTTCTATTATACCCATTTTTAAATTGCTAGAGATACAGTAGCATTACTTGTTATAATTTGATTTTTCGCAGTAAAAGGAAATGCAACCTTGATTTAGCAATGGCAAAGCTCAAGGAGGGAAATATAAATGCTGCAGCAGAGATCTTTCAGGTACTATCAGATTGATCTCTGATTACTGTGGTAATGCTTGATTTTTGTTATGGCTTACAATTATTTGGCAATACTTAGTGGTTATATCGCCTCAGTAACCTGGTGCATATATTTGATTTGGTACACTGCTTATGTTCTTGTCATATGTCCCTAGGACCTTGTGTCATGTTCGATTTCCTCTAGGTGCTATCGTTCTCTTTGAAGGCCATGCCTATTGGCTGGGTGGATTTGTTGGGCCAAAGCTGCCAGATACCATGGTTATGACTTATGAGAAGTAATATGAAGGCTTCTTCTATATTGTTGGGACTCCCTCTTTTCATTTTGTTGAGTGAGATTAAAGGAAAAGTTATATGCAGATTTGAAGTGGCATTCCGTGGGGGGAAATTAGCAGCTTGGTATGGTTTGCAACTTAGCATGCTAATAACACTAGAAAAGAGAAAGGAAAAAAGAGCCATTCATCTTGAATATGACCTATGTTTTTCTATTGTTAAGATAAAAGTAACCTGAATTTTTGAACAATCTGTTGTTGGCAGTTTCGTTCAGGTGCACCAATTATTCATACTGGAATCTTGGTAGTTTAAGAGAATTTTTTAAAATCATCAAATAGTCTACCATTCACGGTGGATGAATCACCTTCCTCAGAATTGTGCATGCCCAATACTGCTGGTTTGCAAATTGTTTTCCTCCAAAAAACAGAAAAAAAGGGAATTGATGTGTTTCTAATTAAATCAGTTGATCACAAAGCGTTTTTAGCTTTGTAGAAATCCCCTTGAGAGAAAGTTCAGTGGGAGAAGTCCTGAATGGTTTTAAGCCCACCAGTGTGCAGGACTTAAGATTGGTCTTGTATTGTAGCCACAATCTCTCCACTTGTTAGATGTTTACAGTTGACTTCTGAGTAGAAGCAACAAGATAAATGCAATCCTTTGAACAAGAAATTTAACCCAACTAATCGAAGATTTTCAAGCATCATTCAGAAAAGTTCCCTGTCTTCCAAATTCTTATCATCGGCAGCCATTAAATTCGAGCCAGAAGTGGAACAGATTTCATCCTCAAAGGGAGGAGTAACACCGTAATTAGCCCCAAAGCAAACAATTATCTTATCTTGGTCTTTTTTAGCCAGTTTAATTGATCCAACCTAAAGGCTCATTGATCATTCCCAACCTAAAATTTGATGAAGCCTGTGACTAGATGTCTAAGCTGGAAAATTATCAGGGATATCCAGTTATGGTAGGTAATATGCAGGAAAGCAGTCTAGAAGTTTTGATATTTATTGCACATAGGTGTGAAACCATTTGGTCTAGCTAGATTATGGTTTAAATGATTATTTGCCATAGCTGAGAAAGAATTTAAGGTTCGTTTCATTCCTTGAGGTCTTGTAGGGTATGATCTACCCCTATAATGAGGCTTTTTAGTAAAACAATATGATGTGATCAGTAACAGAACGTTTTGCCACAATAATTTCTGTACAAAAGCTTTTGCACTGTTCTTGGCATGATAAAGGCACATTTGATAAGTTGGACCCTCTTGGAATATAATAGCATTGTCAAAGATTGAATTTTTGAGACATCTAATGGTGACAATGTATGATCATTGTTGAACAGACAATCTTATATGTAGTCTTTTTGTCTTTTAATACGAGTCCATTTTATGATTTTGAAAACTTAATCCGATGCTTAAGTGACGTTGATGCTTTAATGACTTAACTCTATCGATTTAGTTGTCTGATTCTTGAGATCAGAGGCTCTCTTGGCATGATGTCTGGGACACCAGCTTTTTCTCTAGCTTAGTTATTTTCTTTCTTTCCTTGTTCTTGTTGTTTGCACCACGTCTTATCATTTAGTATCTGATTGCGTATTTTTCATATCTTGAAATTTTTTATAAAAAAAACATTCACCAGAGTAGCCAACTATTGCATTGCAAAGTATTCAAATCAGCAGATACTGTTATCTGATGTATTCTCTTTTGGATGCAGAGGGCAGTGAGTATTACACCATCAATGGCACACCAACTCATTCAGGTACCCAAGTAATGATGCTAACTGTTAAGTTGATAGGGAAGTATTAAACCAACTCTCTAGACCTTTATCTTAAAGCTGCATGTATAATATATAGGTCCATTGGGAGTGATATTGAGTCCTCGCTTTTTACTTGGATAATTGCCCATATTTTCTTGCAGGCTTGCAGCTTTGATTTCATGAAGAGTCTATAATATATTCTAGGACATTTGCTATTTCTATCACTTAATTTTTTTATTACATACACAAATATTATGTTTAATCTTCCTCTACATTCCTAGATTCTGAGATCAGAGAATATTGAGTTTGTCGTAGCTCCATATGAGGCGGATGCACAGTTAGCATATTTGTCGAGCCTTGATGAAGACAAAGGTGGAATTGCTGCAGTGATATCAGAGGACAGTGATCTACTAGCCTATGGTTGCTCCTCTGTAAGAATCTCCATGGAACTTGTATAGAAAGATTGGAGGTCTACAGCTCTCCTGATGACCATTCTCTTCCATTTGAAATTTTGAACATGTTTTGGGTTGATCTGTATTGGATGTTATCAGGTTGTTTTCAAGATGGACCGCTATGGCAATGGGGAAGAGATAGTTATAGATAAAGTTTTTGATTCTGTTGGACTTGTACCTTCCTTCCGACATTTTGATAAAGAATTATTCACAGGTGATTCTTATCACTTACAAGTTCAAGATGCAACAATACACACTCGATCTTCTTTTCTCCTTTCACAACAAATGTTCAGATTTCTCTGCATATGGAGAAAGCCAAACTAATGATGACAGTGAATGTATAGGCATGTGCGTGCTAGCTGGATGTGATTTCCTCTCATCAGTGCCAGGAATAGGGATTGCAAAGGCTCATGCTTTGGTTTCTAAGTATCGGAACTTAGATCGTGTAAGCATATGATTTACTCCCTTAAGCAAATAACTGAAATAAAATCGGACCAAGTTTAGTGTTATGGGTTCATTTAAATTGTGCAACTTAAGTTTTGATCTTCACTGAGCTTGCAAGTAAGTCAAGTTGTAGTAGCCAAAGTGATGCAATCGAGATTTTTGAACTGGCTCAATAAACTAGCATTGCCATAAAAGCTTGTCCACGCATTTGGTTCTAGATAGATTTATGGTGTTGCAACATTTCCCTATTATGTGGACTAGTTCTAGTACCATCTTGAAAGTTAGAGCAATTATAATGATGAGAAATATTTGTGACCATGATAATTTTTTCAGGTTCTATCCACTTTGAAGCATGAAAAAGGAAATCAAATGCCCGAAGACTACTTCAAATCCTTCCATAAAGCATTTGCTGTTTTTCAGCATGCCCGAATGTGTGTAACCTTTTCATTGCTACATGTCAGGCCAATTATTATATCATATTCATATTATCCTTCTTACATGTCTTATATCATTTGCAGCTATGATGCAGAATCAAAAAGGCTTAAACACTTGACACCTCTTCCGGAAACGCTTGTGCATTATTTAGGTGAAGAGATTGATTTCCTTGGACCGTATCCTTTATATTTATTGAATGCTAACCAATTTCAGCCATTTGAGTTTTAGCAAATTTGTACTAGCTTGCCAACTTTAACTATGATCAGTGAAATGTCTTCCTCGCAAGCTACTGCAATTGCCGAAGGTCAACTGGATCCTTCTACCATGAAGGGGTTTAAAGAATTTCCTAGTTCCAACGGTCAAGTAAAACCTACTGCTTTTATTAAACCATCTAATGCCATCCAACCTTCTAGCCGGCTCTTGAAACAAGAAACAACCCCAACTAGCTGCTTTACCATTGTGTCAATACAGAAAACTGGAACTAAAAGAATTACAGGTAAGTTTCTAATTCAATTATGCATGATGAGTATAGACATCCGATTGACTATGTTACTTATAATTGTCATGGAGGTTTTGACAGTGATGGAGCAGGAGCCTGCTTTCGAGAAAACGAAGCATAAAGCTGATTTGGAAGAATGGAGAAGCTTAAGTAACCCCTCCAATCTTGAAAAGTTGATATCTCCATTAAAGAACAATATTCTGAGTAAAGTCGGTGGAATTCCTGCCAAAAGATCATCAAAGGTTCCTGACAATAATCCTTTTAAAAGAAGGAAAGAAACAGTTGCAGTGAAGGATGATTGTGTTAATGAACAACTTTCAGAGGTAACTGAAGTTGAAGAATTAGAACTAATTTGTATCAGTCCTGCAACACAAAGAAGCATTGCTGAACAACAGTCAGTGGTGACTGAGATTGAAGATTTGGAGACATTAGGCATCACTCCCAGTTCACAGAAAAGCGTGGAATCTAAACCTGTCAAGAAAAAGAAGGTGACAAGTAAAAAGAAAGTTGAAAGCAAGAAAAACAGCATCTTGAATTTTTTCTCTCGGGTATAAATTGCAATTGTTTGTAATTGATTCCCTTTTGTCATTAAGATTAAAAGAAGCGAAAGCTAATTAACAAATCTAGAACAGTTGATGGGATTACTTGTAAGATGAAGCAAACTTTTGTGGTTTGCTTCCAAGATTGAGCTTAAAATTGAAATCTGAGTTGAACAAATGCAAAACAGCAAGGGTAAGTTTTGTTTATGACAAAGAAGGATTGCAATGGATTTTAAGGACTGTGCTCTCTACTGGTGTTTCCATGCTTGAGGAATGATTGATTCAGGTATCATCATCTTTTTGCACCTATTCTATGGATTTACTAAAACAGAAGAAAAGTAGAATGGCTTTAAACCCGAAATCCCTTTGCCTTATGTCATGTTACAAACAAAGTGCGTAGATAAGTACTTATATTGAGCGAAACTTTCGAATTTGCAGCCATTTAGTACAACTTATATATTGTTGCCAATTTATTTCATCGTTGCTGATGCGTTAACTAAACTTAGATAAGACTAATGCTTATTTGGGCCTAGTATTTTCTTGAACCAATAGGCAGACATCTTGGGGTATCTCTTGAGAGTCTTGAAATCAACGTAAACGATGCCAAATCTTGAAGTGTACCCTAATCTCCACTCAAAATTGTCGAGCAGTGACCATGCAAAGTAGCCTATCACATTTGCTCCTTCATCAACTGTTTGTTTCAATGCAGCCAAATAACCCTTGTAGTAATTGATCCTTGTGTGATCAACTAAACCATTAGCAAGGGTTATATTACCTGGATCATCCATGCCTATAACATGCAAATTAACAACTACAAGTTAGCTGTTTGTTGGACTAACATTGTACAACCGACTCATGTAGAGCTTTTAGCTGATTTTCTATCGTTACACATACCGTTTTCAGCCAGAATAACAGTCGGGTTCCCATAATGTTGTTTAACATAAGTGAGGGCTTTGTGTAGACCCCATGGTACATTGTACAGCCAGTATGAATATGCCTGCATTCAAAGTATATCACACTGTCTCTTTCTCTGCATGTTTTAGTTTCTATACCAAAAAGGAAAGCTTGCTTACCCGTGGACCAATTGGTACGCCTTTACGCGCAACTGCAGAAAAGGTAAGAAACCCATAACTATTTATGCTATTTGTAAATTGTGAGTGTTTAAAAAACTAGTCATGTATCTTACAAGCAAATCCTGCATTCCAGTCCATCTGGTAGCCCAGGTGTTTTGGTGGCTTTTGATGTGGATCATACATGTAATAAGTAGTATATTGGTTTATCCCAACATAATCGAAAGATCCCTTCACCATTTTCACCTCTTGGTTCGTGAATTTGGGTAGACGATCCTTCACAATGTTTTGCATTGTCTTGGGATATTCACCATATACAAGAGGATGCAAGAACCTATACAGAGAAAGATCACAAACTTAGCTTTGAGGCTATCAGATTACTCTTCAACATGTATTCAAGTAGAAAGGAGTTCAAAGTGTAGCTGAATTACCATCCAAGATGAAAGTCTCTTGCTCTTTGAGCAGCATCATTGTCGGCTTTTGATCGTGTGAGAGGTTCATACCAAACAAAGTCCAACAAGATCCCGATACGTCCATTCTGTGTTTCCTGTATCATCTCAACACGAGTTAAATTTAAAAACATTATGACTTGAAAGAATGATTTCATCTCACTTGATACTTTTGTCGGTATCTTTGAACAGCAGCGGCATGACTTAAGATCAAATTGTGGGCGACAATGTATGGTTCCGTTGCAGAATTCCCAGCTGTGCAATTTCCGTATGCCTTGGAGCACCGTCCTGGAGCGAAAAACCCATTGTCGTATCCAAGGGCAGCCACCACTCTAGGCTCATTAAACGTCATCCAATTCTTCACCCTGTCCCCGAATGTCTTGAAACAGAAGTCTGCGTAATCAGCGAAATCTTTCCTGATAGATGTTTTGCATAAAAACCATGTTAGATCCATGATCGAGTTGTCGGCTTTGTATAAATCCAAACTCAACTTTCTTTGTTTTGTTTTCCATTAAACTTGTATGAATTAGATTTTCTGTATATCTATACGGAGTTTAGATCATAAATTGATGTCTGTTTTCTTTGTTGAACAAACGGTCTGCATGATGTAAATGAATATTTTACCGCAAAAATCATCATTTTATCCCACACATAAAGTAGGTCCTAAATATGGCAATACATATGCAAATCTTTATTCTAAGGCCGTTTTTATACGTGATATAATCAAAGCGGAGAGAAAAGAAGTTATAATAAGAAATATAAGAAGAGATCTGAACCGTTAATCACTTTTAATCATCCATGAATTGCGTTTTAGAAGGTAATTGACCTGGTGCATCTCAGAGCACATCATCAATGTTGATATTCAATTAGGATTTTTGATCCTAAAGTTAAAGATCTCTTCTTATCTCACCGGAACCCAACCCATATAACCGACATAAAAAGAAGCACATATTTTAGTGTTTTTGAGTGGTACATACACAACTTGATGGCCCAACCATCCCAGATACTTTTCTTCAAGGACCAGTGGAAGGTCATAGTGATTGAGATTGGCATATGGGGTAATACCTGCAACAATACATAATATAAACAACACTGAAGCTATAATCTTAATTTTTTTTTTTTATTAAACTTTCTTATTTTAAATAATTAAGTCTCTGAACTATTTTTTTTAAATGAAAACATTATTAAACTTTCTCATTTTAATTGATTAAATTTTTAAACATTTTTTTAGCAAATAAATCATCGCACTTTTACAAATAGGTTACCTACATCTTTTTAACCCACAAAAAGTTATGTTAACCGACTAGTAAAAGTTCTATAGTTTATTAATTTTCTAAAAAAACAATTCAGGGTCTTAATCATTCAAAATGTGAAAGTTCAATGGTTTTTTCATTTACAAAATATACTTCAGGGACTTAATCATTTAAAATGAGAAAATTTAATAGTTTTTTCATTCAAAATAATAGTTTATGGACCAACCATTCCAAATGAGAAAGTTTGTTGGTTTTTTTTAGACTTTTCATAATATAATTAACAATACTTTTATTTATTTTCACGAAACAAAGTTGTTCTTATCGGACCCAACTCATACGAACGATAGTTATGCAACCATTATGCTCTCCACAAAAATACGACCTACGTTTTAACTCAAAAGTATTATTTGATGTGTTTCGTTTAAAACGAAAAAAGTACCTTTCTCAAGCATGTAGTCAATTAAACGGTTATAGTAAGCAACTCCTTTCGGGTTCACCTTTCCTGTTCCCTCTACACAATAGCAAACAAGCGATTATCACAACAGATTTTTGTAGCGTATGAAGATGGCGTAGATGGATCGATAATTACTTGGAAATATTCGAGACCATGAAATGGAGAAGCGATACGCATCGAAGTTGAGGTTTGCCATCAGATTAATATCTTCCTGCAATTAGTATAAAATATGATTACCAAAAACGAGCTAATTGCACCCTGCTATATTGTTAAGTACATCATTACGTACTAATTTTCTCATCACATACATCAAATACCATTAATTACTTTTTACGTTTTAATAAATGATTTAATCTAATCTTAATATAAATAAATATGCATATAACAACACTCTTTCACGCATGGATTTACCATTTTTACATTATTACTTCAATAGAGTTCAACAAAATACTATTTATTTTATATATTTTTTATTAACAATTTTCATGTAAAAATATATTCTTAAAGATATTTTGTTCGTTATTGAAAATGTATTGTTGATTGTTAAAGATAAATCAGGGTTTGCAAAGAAATTAATTAAAATAGCTCTTTTGATCAGATGCTTTTATTTTAGTCGTTTCTTTTTTAAAATTATAAAATAGCTATAGGTCTGTAATTGACAAATCTGTAATTTGTGGAACGGTCAAAATGTAAGGAAAAAAATGAAGTTTCTAAACCAGGTCCGCAATTACAGAAACCAAATATGTAAACATGGAAAAACACATCTTCAATTGCGGACATATTTTTGCAAACCTATCAACTAATTTACATATTTGGTCGCTGTAATTATAATTCTGGTTCAAAAACTTAATTTTTACACTTTGATACCCTTGCAAATGAAGGATCTATGACTATTTTTATAAATTTAAAAAAAAAAGTAAAATCCATTATTAAAAATTGTTATTTTAATTAATTTTTCCCATTTTATGTCACTTTAATGGATGTTTTTTTTAATAATAATCGGAGATGCGATGCCAGCCAAACATGAAGACAAAACAAAAGTAAGTGGGTCCCTCTCCCCACGACTCGGTGGCCAATGCGACTGTCACATGCTCACGGGTTGGCAAATTTGGACCATTTTTATAGGGGTATTCTAACCCCACCCCCTGCTACTTCTTTCACCCTACTCTTTTTATACCCCCACTTATATGAAATAATAAAATAATTAAAATTTATTTATTTTATTTTTCAATTTTAACCTTTTAATATTTTTAGTTTTAACCTTTTAACTTTTTAAATACTTTCCTATTATATCCTCCAGGTTTTTTATCTATATTATAACTACATATATTAATTCACTTGTTAAAATAAAAATATATTTTTTAAACATGTTGTAGTTGATATATGATTATGTATGTTAATTTAATAAAGGTGCAAAATGAAAAACTTAAAAGTAAAAGGTGTAAAATAAATTAATTAAATAATTACAAGGGTATAAAGTGTAATTTAAAAATTATAATATTAAACAAATTGATTGAATGTGAGGAAGGGTTGAATGTGAGAGGGAGAGGGTGTATAAGTGACGTAAGGGGGTGGGGATATCAACCCCTTTTTATAAATGCTCAAACTTTTCCATTTCATAAATTAAATCAAGACTAAAAATACAAATTTGGTTCCTATAATTTGTAAAAATAACATTTTTTATTTTTATAAGTTTAAATATTGGTCTCTACTCTAATAACTATTAAAAAGTTTTATTAAATAAGGGGATATTTTGGTCTTTTTTATCGATTCTTGTCTTTTATTCAATCAAAAATCTTATAAACCAAAATTGTAAAATCAATTTCTATTAGGTAAAAGACACAAAATTGATAAAAAAAATGAAAATATCTATAATTTAATGGATTTTTTAAACAACTGTTAGAGAAAGAGGCGAATGAAAACCACAAGTATCAAATTTTTAGTTTACTGTTAAATTAGTTATTATATATATATATATATATATATATATATATATTGAAATATAATATTATTAAAATACTAAAAAGAATTAGACGATTTTTATGGTCATTTACGAATAAAAATATAAATACGATAAGTGAGTGACAAGTATAGGACGTGTTTGTTTTTTTTAAACTAGAAGCGTATTCGTGCAATGCAGTGAGATACATCGTGATTTCAATATTTTATTTTATTCTTTATTTCAGTCGATGTTATAATATGACTTTATGTGATTTTAAGAAAGCAATACTGTTTTTATTTTTGAATAAAATATATGTTTGAAGATATCATAAAAATTTGACAAAAATATATCAATATTAGTATCAAATTAACTATTTGAAATTCCTTATTTTTTTGTGTAATTTTTTAATTCAATTTTTTTATAATTTAATTTATGTACAATAACGAAGTAATTTATATTTGGTTTAATAATATAA